AAATATAATAATTTAACTGACTAAAAACGCTCATCCCTCTTCATCTCCATTTCCTTCAACTCAAGCATATTATTAAATCTAGTTGTGCATTCGAATGGAGAAAACACAAAGAACCTGTTTGGTTGGAAGTGAGAAGAAAATAAATACTACCATAACTAATTAAATTATTTCATTAGTCAAACAGCTTAATTCAATTGTTCAAAATAAAACCCCACTCTCCCTTGTAGCTCCCTCGACAGTTGGTTCTGAGGTAGTTCTACAATTAGACATGGTCATGACTATGACTCATGGGCATCCATGTCAACTGAAAGCATTTCTTTCCCTTTATTTTCTTCCCCTCCTAGTTTATACTCATTTTAATTGTCCAATTAAGGTACCACAAAACATTCCCTTTGCTTTACCAAGGCTTATTTTTTTATTTTTCCTTTAATTACTTTCAATCCAAACACGAGGTAAGGCTAATTTCAGTTTGCAAAAATAATTCATTGTGAGTGATATCAACAACTCACAAAATTGTGAAATGGGTGTGTCCTGGGTTACTTTCTCTAACCCGCGAACTCATTTGACCACTCATGACCCGTGCTGACCTACCCTTAACCCCCAACCCACACATGTCAAACCAACATATAATTTTACACTTTCTTCATAAAAGAGTTCAAAGCATAGCTATATAAATAAACTGTCATCATGGCAACACCATTTAGAAGCTCGCATATCATGAAGGAATCCGATAAGTCAAAGAAAAAAGGTTGAAGCTGAACTGACAGTAGTTCCAGTTTGTTTATAGGACAAGAGAAAACCTATGTCTAAAGGTGGTCATCCTCACCATAAGCCATGGACTTAAGCAACCATTAGAGTCAACTTTACACAAGCTCTTATCAAAATAGCGAACGTTACCAACTTATGTAAAGGCCTTAAGTTTAGTTGCCGTCCTCGTCACCATCATCCTCATCATCATCCTCATCTTGATCGTCCTCATCATCTGTGTCATCATCTTTCCCCTGAAATGGGCAAATATCAGATATAAATAAACAGTAAAAATCTACGTTAACTGTAGTTTCACAGCAAGAGGATCATTTTTTTTTTTTTTTTGTGCCCAAGTAGCATGAGGATTTGGGGATTGGATTTGGCATAAAAATGACTTAACATATTCATCATGGTTATTATAAAGCAGATTTATGATCTCTGATTATTTTACTCATGAAGTATAGCCAATAGATCAAAACAAAGTAAGAGTGTTGATAAAAAAAAATAAAGTATCAAAAATTGGATGAATGCATTCAAACTCATGAAATTCAATTATTCGAATCACTGCACGTTATGGTTAAAAAATACCAAATCCAGCCACCAAAAAGTTAGTTCTCATGATAAACCATACTAAATTCCAAATCCAGGTCCCCATGTAATCATACAATCATTCACTCTATCATTCATTACTATGAAGCCAGCAATGAGATTCTAATTTATAAAGGCTTCTTTATCAAAAGATGTATTACTTCCAACTGCTAAATTAACCCTTAAAAACTCTTAATTAACAATTATTCACTTCTCTCATTAATTAGTATATTTAAGAAGTTGAATTAAACTCTAATTCTAAATATTCTTCCAGTAACCTTAACTTTTTTTCTCAAAATGATGAGAACTAAAGCAAGGGATTAACATAAAGAAGGACAAAATGCTGGCTATTCAGTAAACTAAGGGCAACCAAAACCCTGAATTAAAGATTCTTGAACCTACAAATACACCAAACAAGCAACCATGAAAACATCAATTACCAATAAAAAATTTATGGTAGCACCACTAATGTGACTGATTATATTACTCATGAAGCATTAAGTTTGCAAAGAGAAAAAGAAATCTGGTACCTCTTCATCACCATCTAAATCCTCCTCATCAGCATCCTGTTTCAAGGAAGTCAATGGTCACCATTAGTAATGGAAGAATACAAGATTCAGAGCCCCATATGTCTTTTTGGAAAATGTTAGGAAAACGAACAATAAGAAAAAGAAATTACATTGTTGAAATAAGTGAGAGGATTGGGCCACAGATCCTCCTTGATGATCTCTGCTATCTGTAACTTTTAAAATTAAAAGCTTGGACCAGCTTTATAGAGAAACAAATAAATCCAACAATGACACAAATCAAAGTACAGCAGTTTATATGTGTATTATTTACCTCATCTGTCAGTTCATCCAATTCATCTTTCTGTTGGCCATCAGTAAACCAGGTAAAGAAACTGCTCACAATTGAAATGTGATAGTCAATTACAAGGTATTACCATTAATTCCTATGGGATTTATGAAACAATACGATTTGCTGCAGCCTTGTTCACAAGATCAAGAGTCAAAGGAAATCACAAGAAGAATAAATTTCATTTGCCGATTTAAAAAATGTCATGGTCATAGCTGCAAACACAAAGTTGCCAAAATGCATACTAGTTACATACATAGTATACCAATCAAAGGAAATCACCACAAGAATGAATTATATTTGCTGATTTCAAAATGTCATGGTCATAGCTGCAAACTCAGAGCTGTCAAAATGCATACTAGTTACATACATAGTCAATCAAAGGAAACCACCACCAGAATGAATTTCATTTGTTGATTTCAAAATGTCATGGTCATAGCCGCAAACTCAGAGTTGTCAAAATGCTTACTAGTTACACACATAGTCAATCAAAGGAAATCACTACAAGAATGAATTTCATTTTCCGATTTCAAAAATATCATGGTCATATCAGCAAACTCAGAGTTGTCAAAATGCATACTAGTTACAAATATAGTATACCAAGCAGAACAAGAACAACATTGCATGCGGGTGAGCATTGGAGCAGTTTGATGCAGAATCTATCGTAGAATAAAGTATTTTGTGCATATACAAGGCTTCAATAGAACATAAATTCACAATTCCGAAAAAGAAAACCCAACCCCTTAACATTAGGATTAACAAAACTGAGAAGTTAAATTTAAAAGGAAATTATGTTGTAACAGGTATCAACCACACCACAGATTCATGAAATAAGTGGAAAAAAGACAAAAAAAAAAAAGAAAAAAAAGAAAAAAAAAAAGGGAAATCAAGGTATGAAATGAAATTTCAGAAGAGGCTAATCTCGAGTTGTTAGGGTAAGCCTAAAACTGGATTCTAGGGAAATGAAATAAAAGAATAAATAAAGTTATAAATGGGAAGGGAATGGAGTTCATAAAAGTAAAATGGCTGATAGGAAAATAAGACCAACCTTTCTTCAGCTAATTGTCGCTTGTTTCCTTTCTTTTCATGATTAACTCCATTTGGCAAGCCCTTCACATGAAGGGAAAGTATTTAAATATAACATCTAATGAAAATAGAAAGCACAAAGTGACTAGCCACAATGGAATAGCTCTCACCATGCCCTCTTTCCACTTGATCTGAGTAGAAGTAATCTTTGTTCCTTCTTCATCACTAAAGGTAAATGTCTTTGTAAGCTTAGTATCTTCGAAATGAGGATTGGGGTTGAAGTTCTGAGGGCAGAGAAGTATATATTGAAGAACCAGTTAATTAATTTGTTGATCGAAGCAAAGCACAAGCTACTCTTTTTCAGAGCTTGGGTCAAAGAAACAAAAAATAAATTCAATTATTCATACAATATGCATGAATAGTAGCATGGATGTACTTACAAATGTAATAGAGTATCCAGATTTGAGATCTTTAAAATCCTCCACTTCAAGAGAGCTTATATACTTGAATATCTACACAATAGAGGGGAAAAAAAAAGGGAAAAGGAATAAACAAAATACAATTAACAAAAATTAGCAAAACATCAATAACATCTCAAATTAAAATACAATTCTGTTCCAAAGAAGTTCAAAAACATTGTCCAGTTCACGTAGAAGCAACATCAAACCTTTTGATCCTCTTCAGTCAAAAGTCCACCTAGGGCAGGATGACTCAAGAACTGCAAAGAGAAGTTAGAATAAAATTTAAAATAAATTATATCCTCATCAGATAAAAATCTATATTCAGACAGCTAAAGCAACAAGGGTAGGATCTCTTACTGCAGTTAACCAGAAATCTGGAATGTTTTTCAGGAGCTCATTCCGCTCATCATACACAGGCTTGCGTATCTCATTATACTTCTGTTCCACTTCCAAGACTTTCTCACTAGCCTCTTCGTTGATCTATATAGTAGCAAAATAATTATGGAAAAATAAATAAATAAATAATTGGGTAAAAAATAAAACCCTATAGAATGATATTTCAATATATTTACCATTTGAATAAGATGTACACACCCAGAGGCATACATTAGAGTTATCAGACTAAGAAACAAGAAACAAAGAGGAAAAGAATTTATAACAAATGAGTAAATTAGGCATGCAGAACAGACAAATATTACAAGCTTTGAACAAAACCATGAGATATCCAACAATATCAATCCCATTATCCCATAGACAGCTGCAAGCCGTGTTTCCAAGCTACCATACAGTTCTAGATGACGAAAACCAGATTCAAATATGGAGAAATGAACATGCCGCTATTTCAAGCAAGGTAAACAATTCCCTTTTGCAAGTTTGCAACTAACCACACCCAGAAATGTCCATCAACAATAGCAGTTAAAAGGGACAATAATTCCACAACGGCAATCCAATCTTTTATTTATTTATTAGAGTGAACTGCAATTCAACATACAAACTGAATTTTTATCCACCATAAACGGGGCCAAAAACAACATAAAAAGAGACACAACATAAATCCATGTCACTGTTTAGACATGTTAACAACAAAAAACCTAAAAACCCAGAATTTTCCTAACCCATTTCCTAGAAATTGCTCACAACCAAACAAAATAACAGTTAATTGGGTAGAGAAAATTATATGAGTCAGACCTTTTCGAGCTTGTCTTGGAGCTCCTGCACCTTCTCGATGGCAAGGACAAGCTCTCCATCAATTTGCTCCGAGTTCTCATCTTCTCCTTTCTCAGACAATTTCATCTTCTTTCCCTTGTCTGCCACCATCTTTCCTTCTTTTTTGGCCCGCAAATCAGAAACCCTAGCCCCGGAAGTCTCCCTTCACTCCTTTTCTCCCTGTCTGTTTCCGCGCTCTAAAACCCTAGAGATTTTCCCCCTCCTTTTGCACGCGGAAGGATACGAGAGAAACAAAAAGGCTAGGGTTTTGGGAGTTTATATCTGCTCTGTGCGGTGACGTGGAAGCAAGGTGGAAAAGAACGAATGGCATCGTGACAGCTAGAGGAAGAAGGGCATTATAGTCAGTCCAATATATTTCAAGGGTGCTATGGGAAATGGACTTAGAGATCGTTCTTTTGATGTTTCGGGCAGAATCTTGTAAGTACTTAGCCGTCGGCAAAAGCCTAAGAATAACCCCTTATCTTGATAAGTTAGACGGTTTTGACCCCTCACCTTATAATATAATGATTTTAGCCTCTAACCTATAAGAATGGAAGAAAATAACCTTTTTTTTAACTTCCGTTCGTTGGTCTGCTACCATCCGTCACTTCCGTCCCTTCCTCCGTTATCTTTCCGTTAACTTTCTCAAAGCTTTTCCAAGAAGCTTGCTGCATTTTTTTGGGAATTCAAACTTTTTTTTTTTTAGAATTCTAACATTTTTTTTTACCTTTATTTTTAAAGATGGCTGCACATGTATTACTTGTATATAATTTTTACATATTATTAAATAAATAGATATAATTAATATTATAGGTCTCAAATAAATATAAACAATAAATAAAATATATAATACAATGAAAAAGTGATTTGGACTTTTTTTTAAGACTATTACATATATTTATTATATATAATTTTTACATATTATTAAATAAATA